ACTCTTGTAACTAATATGCATAGAAAGCAAAACCAACCCCCACAATGGCCATGTCTTAATCTGCCCCATGAATCCTTTCCGTCTGACCATCAGTGGGTGCATGCTTCCTCCTTAGTGGTTTGGTGGCATTGATCAGAGTTCTTAAATCATCTTTCAAAGAAAGAAACAATAAACACTTAATGGGATAGAAACTGAGTCAATGATTTCACTGGTATAGGGAATTTCCAGGTGAGGAAGCTCCCTTTATCAGTGCAGGTCCACCCTTTCCCCTTAGAGCCTTCCAGAACTGCCTGGAGTAAGTGATCTGGCAGGTGCCCACAACTAGTATAAGTTTGGTTCTGGTTCCCAGGTGACCTCATTAGGCTCCATACTTCTCCCAAGCTAACTCCAGCACTCACAGGGTGCTAGCCAAACGACACGGAGAAGAGTCTTCTGGGTAGTTCTGCTGCACAATAGTGCCTGGCTAGTGAGAAGAGGGTGGCCTTAGTTCTTTGCCCAGTCTTTCCATCTGCTTTTGGGGAGGCCTCAAGGTGGAGTGAATAGGACGTTGGCCTTGGACCCAGAACACCTGGTTTGAATTCCTGACTCAACTACTTCACAGCTATATGACTCCAGGCAGCTCAGTTTCCTTTTCTTTAAAGTGAACAAGTTGGACTTAATGACCTCTGGGATCCTTCCTGGCTCTCAGTCTGTGGCCCAATGAAACCACAGGTCTTAATAAGGTGCTTTTTGTCCTCCAACACTCTTGGAATTCTTCAATAGGAATGCTAACACAGATTCTGTAACAAAGGTATGGGAATGAGTTTAGAATGCACAAAAACCTCAACTGGGGGAGAAAAATTAACCATTCAACAAGCATTTATTAAGAGACAACTTTGTGCCAGCTACTGTGCTAAACACTCAGAATGCCATGTGTCCCCACCTTCAGTGAGCTCTCCTTCTAAGGGGAGAGACGACATGCAACTATGTAAAGATATGTATATGCACATACATGATATTCCAGCGAGCAGCATAAATTTCTTTATATTCCCCAGAGTGGAGAAGGTTGATTCTAAGAACCCTCTCTATCCTTATAAACATCATGATTAGTGTTATACAAGCTACGACTCAAATCCCATGAGATGAATCATGACATACAACATTCAGGCATTGTTTTTGTAGTCCTCTTTCTTCTACTTACTTTGCTCTGCATCAGTTGATACAAATCTGCCCATATTCCTGTCAATTCCTTCTATTCAGTGTTTCTTACAACTCAATAAATTTCCATCATATTTAAGTATCCCCGTTTGGTTAGCCATTTACCAATCAATGGGCACCTACTTTTGTTTTGCAGTTTCTTTGTTATCACAGAAGGCGCTGCTATAAATATTTAAATATAATAGTAACATGTAATCTAAATTATATACTATTAAATATAATAGTAACATATAATATAAATATTTTGATAGTCTTTTTTTTCCTGTTTTGGATCATCAGATGGCAATCTCTGCTCGATAGTGGGATCAGTGGGTAAAAAAGCAGAAATGGATGTATCTAAAGAAACCAACTTTTCATTGAGTTTCTCTTAGTTCTATATGGAAACTTCTTTGATTGGAAATGGAGCTGCCTTCTACCATATTGCTTTCTGTGGGCTGCAGGGTTACAGTGAGTCTCTGTCCACTGTCTTGTAATATGGAGTTAGCCACAGAGATAGAGAGCTACATTAAATATTCAGTCTTTTCTTTTCTTATTAATATGCAGGTATCCATCGCAATTGAAGAGGTCACCCGTTGTCATCTAAGATTTACTTTCCGGCACAGGTCATCGCAGGAATGTAAGTATCAAGACATTTGTACTACAGACTTTCTCCAAGAACAATATTGACTCTTGCTTCACAGTACTTTTTAGGAGCCCTGGAGACTGACTGTGTTTGGAAACTAGACATGGCTAAGTCCAGCCCTTGGCAGCTTCATCCTTCAAAGCTAAGCTTTCCCTGGTACTAAGGAAGGAGTGGGACTATTTATGTGCTTCTGAGTTTCCAAATTCCACATGGCCAAGCTAAAGAAAATGTAGTCCTTGGTCCATGAGAAGCTGATGGGTTTCGGGCAGATTTCCAAGTTCTTGAAAGTTTGTTGTTTCCATATGGCACTATTAATGTTGACATTAGTTGGAAATTGCCATGTTAATACTCTACCTCTGTGGAACTGATCTGTCCTTTATTTGAATTCCTCATAACACCATACTCATTTCTCTCCTGCTCAATTCCTTTCAATGAACTTTTAACAGCCTTCTACTACGGGCGAGACATTGTGTTAATTGAGAGGATTCAAAGACAAAAACAAGCACAGTCCTGCCCTAAAAGGACTTCCTTCCTCTGGTGTACTTATCATGTTTTTGTTAATATAATTATTGTTATAATAGAGGTGATGGGGGATGGTAGATAGCGAGCCAGTCCCAGAGAAATGACAGCATGGATAATGAACATGTGGAATTTTAACTAGAGGCATCAAGGTCTATCAGTCATGTATTAAGCACTTACTATGGTACTGTGTGAAACACTGGGGATACAGAGAAAGGCAAAAACAGCCCCTACCTCCAGGAGTTCCCAATCTAATGGGGCAGACAACATGCAAACAACTATATACATTTGAGATCAATACAGGATAACAATACAGGTCATCTCAGACGGAAGACACTAGCACCTTCCAGGGAACCCTGCAGAAGTTGGGGGTTTTAGGTAAATCTTATGCAGATCCAAGGAAACCAGGAGATTGGGATCAAGGATAGAGAATATCAAAGCTCACATGGCCTGGGTCCCAGTCCTGACTGTGTGACAAAGGACAAGTCACTTAACCTTTCAGTGGTCTGGGCAACTTTCTAAAGCTAGAGAAGATTTCATCTTGAATTGGTGGAGGAAATTTCCTTTGCCTAGAGTTCCCTGTTCTTATGAAATCATCAGACTAAGCCCTAATTATTTTCATGTATGACTTTTCTCTTCTCCTAGACCATTAACTTTCTGAGGAAAGAGATTGTGTCTTACTTATCTTTGTTTCATTTCGGGTCTGGTTTTTTGTTTTGTTTTTTTTTTGCTTGTTTGGTTGTTTTTTTTAGGCAATTGGGGTTAAGTGACTTGCCCAGGATCACATAGTCAATAAGTGTCTGAGGCCAGAGTTTTACTCAGGTCCTCCTGACTCCAGGACCGGTGTTCTGTCAAACTTACTTATCTTTGTATCTCCTTCAGCACCCTGTCTTACAAGTATTGGACACTTAATGAAAGAATAGATTGCCCCATGCCCTTCTCCTAGGTACTCCCACCCTCCAAATAGAATAAAGTGTAGAAGTGGGAGACCATCTAGGTGGGCCATAATCACTGGCCTCTCCGCATCACTCAGAAACAAAGTTTTCCTCACTTTACAGCCAGAGATAAATCTGAAAGAGCTTTTGGGGTGGCCTTTGTAAAGCTGATGAACCCAGACGGAACTACATTGCAGGATGGGAGGCATAACCTGGTAGTGTATAAGGTAAGAGCAATAGAATCAATCTCTAATGACTGTCAAAAGTTCTTCCCTCATCCATCAGGAACTAAAAATCCCCCTAAGGTTCATGGCTGTGATGCTCTGATGGATTCTTGATCTCTTTGACTTGGAACGGTCCCATCTTCTCATCCCATGGACTTTTTGTCCATATCTTTCCAAAAATACTCCATCTCCAGAACTGGGCATGCATCCTCATACGTGGCCAGAATCTTCTTTTGTTCTCTTGGGATAAGGTAGGGTTCCGAGATTTAGAATGGAAAAGAATCATAAACATCTTCTAGTCCAATGCCCTAATTTTATAGAGGATAATTTCTCACAAGGGCATATATTCTATTCCGTCATAGGTTCATAGGTGTAGAACTGAAAGCAGCCCCAGAGGCCACCCACTACAATGCCCTCATCTCACAGATGAGAGAGCTGAAGCCCAGAAAAGTAAAGAAGCCAATCCTAAAGAAGGCTTTGGCCTGGATTGTATCAGAGGATGATAGATTCAAAGGTGGAGTGGAACTTTGAGGTCATAGATTAGAATCCTGGATGCTCTGCCTCTGAGGCTGTAAAGTCCTGCACAGTGAATGCTGAGTCTAGGTGGAACCTCATTCGGCTTGTGAATAATAGAGTATTCCTCCTCATTTAGCATTCCCAAACCATTGGGTGTGTGTTTTCTTTTCAGGGGGATAATAAGAAAATGGAAGATGCTAAATTCTACCTGACCCTGCCCAGCACAAAGATAGAGATGGAAGACAAGGATTTCTCCCCAGGCAAAAACACACACTTGGCCAACTTCACCCCAACCAAGGATAGCACCAAGGACAGCTTCCAAATCGCCACCCTCATTTGCTCCACAAAACTGACCCAGAATGGTGAGTCAGAATTGGTTTTCTGAATGTAGCTGTTGGGCTCTGTGGTAAGAATTATGGGGTTCTATCAGTCACTATGTGCTAAAAAAAACTAAGGACCCAAGGATGGAAGTGAACAGGCTTGCCTTCATGGAGTTTACATTCTATTAGAGAGGTACAACACATCCACATTAACAGCTGGGGTCATGTGAAAAGGCCTCTTGGAAGGGATGTCGCTTGAGCTAAGCCTCGAAGGGAGCTGGGGGTTATAAGAGGTGGAAGTAAATAGAGAATGCTTGAGGAATGGGGGACAGCCTAGGCAAAGGCACATGGGTGGAATATGGAGTGCCTTGTCTGGGTAAGAGCAAGTAATACAGTCTGTGAACATGCCATCCCTCCCTAACAGAATATAATTACTTGATGAGGCATTCAGACATTTAATCAGAATCACAGCAGGGACTTCAGGTGGGGAGACAGGTCAGAAGGACACAAATTGTCAGAACTGAATAAAGACTTGGTCATAAGGAGTGAAGAAATAACCCCAGTACTAAGAGTAGGGGATACTCAGTCAGACACTCCTTGAGGATAGGGACCATTCTGGCCTTTCCTTGTTATCCCTAGTGCTTAGCACACAGTCTGGCACACAGAAGGTGTTTAATAAATGCTCGTTGGCTTGACTTAGCAAGGTGAGAATGTTGTAACAAATAGCTCGTTTGATGCTGAACTTTAGGCTCAAGGACAAGTCTGATTCATGAGTCTAGATCAGGAATGCAAGCCAGGGTTAGGTGGCTCCAGCTGAGGGGACAGGACAGATGTGGGGTCAAGCCAACTTCAGTGGGAATCATTTTCTCTATCTGTTGTCAGGCACCTTGGGCCAAGTGCTCAGCAACTAGAACCCTAGCTGTATCTACAGCAAGAATCCCTGAGACTCAGAGAACTTGGGCTCCATCAGGATCCCAGATCAACCCTCCTTCTACCCCAAAACAAAATGCCACCTGCCAAGACAGTCGCATAGAGCCCCTTTAGAATCAATGACCAGACATCACATGGGCAGATTTTGGTGTCATATAGGAAAAAAACTTTTTCACCAGTTAGTCCTCAAGATCATAGGACTTAGATCTGATAGGGACCTTGGAGATCATCAAACCCACCCAGTTTGTCTCTTTCCAATGTCAAGTACACTAGGTCAAACACCAAAGTGCAGGAATCTCAACTCAACTTTGAGGAAAAGAAATTTATGGCAAGAATGCCCAGGAACTCAAGCTTTACCTTTGAGGCAATCTCACCCTCATTTTATAAATGAGGAAACTGAGGTCCAGAGAAAGGAAGTGATTTTGTTAAGGTCACACAGGATATGAACTCAGATCCTCTGACTCTTAACCCAACATCTTTCTGCTAGACCAAGCTTTACTTTCAACTCCAAGATCCTGTGGTTCCCATATACCTAAGCTATACCATAAAGTACAATAATTGCATCCTCTTTGTGGACACATAGGATCATGTCAGATCTGGAAGAGACCTTAGAAATCATCTTTTCCAACTCCACCTTATTTGGTAAATTTTATTTTATTTTTCCACTTAGTCTATTTTCTCTCCCTCCTACTTCTGTTTTGCCCCATTGTAGGACAGATGGATGGACGGAGACAGAGAAAAGAGACAGACAAACACACCCAGAAAGGCAAAGAGCTCTTAATAAATATGAACAATCAAACAAAACAAATCATCTCATTGTCATGTCCAAAAACTGCATTTCTCAGTCTACACTTTGATTCTATCACCTACCTCTCTGCTTGCTCACTTCATTGATCAGAGTTCTTAAGTCTTTCAGAGTGTTTGTCTTTACAGGGTCATTGTCATTATGCAAATTCTTCAGACTCTGTTTATTTTTCTCTGCCTCAGTTCCTACAAATACTCTCAGCCAACCCCTTCCTTCAGAGAGGGGAAAAAGAAGTTCAGAGAAGGGATCACACGATTAGTGAAAGAGCTAAATCCCTAACTCCAGCTTTCTGGATCCCCAGTCAAGTGTTTTTTCCACTCATAAAAACAATTCACATTTTGATAACACTTCAGGTGTATAGCATGCTTCCCTCAATACCACCATAGATGTACTATGGAGTACAAGTTGTTGTTTTCTTCATTTTATAGGAAGGGAAACTGAAATTCCAACAAATTAGGTGATTGGCACAGCAATCACGGTAATAATAAGGATCCAAGCCAGGTTCTGAACCCAAGTCTTCTGACACTGAGACCAGAGCCCATAGCCATGCTCCTGCTGCCTCCTGTGTACCATTCCTCATGTAAGGAATCCAGTGGAGTGCAACCCAGGGCCTTGCCTCTAAAGTCCTCCCAAAAGACTGTGCTGGTGCTTTTTTGCTCTGCCATCTTGGAAGTTGGATTCAGTTTTTTGTCATGACGCTGACCAGAGGAAAGTCTAAGGCTCTCCAAACGTTTTAGATATAAAATCCATCCAAGTATCAAATGGCAGTTTGATCTCCAAGAGCAGCCAACATTTGTTCTATTTTTGTGAATCATTGTTGGCTGGAGGTGAAGGTTAGTATTTCAACTAGGAGAAGTGGCCAGACACAACAGAGGGGAGTTCAGGCCGACACACAGGCAAGGTAATCAAAACAAGCTCCCTGAGTCCCAGAGAGCAAAAGAATGTCTGGGTCATCCTGCCAAAAATGCTCCGAAAGTCACAGAAGACCCCATACAGAGGAATGGAGTGTACCATTGCTCAAAGAACACACGTGGTAGGTGGGAAGTATGGAAATGGAGGCTGTTCCCTCTAAGTTTGTTTCCTCATTCTTAAAGTGGAGGCAGAAATAGCCATAGCTCTTAATTCCCATATTTCTTGTGATGATCAAAAGATAAAATGGGTTCAACCCTTTGTGAATCTGAGCACACAATGAAAAGTCAATTATTATTATAATGTCAGTCTATCAACAAACTTATTACATGCCTACTAAGTGCCAGAGACTATGCAAAGTGCTGGGGATTCAAATACAAAAAAGAAAAAAGAAAAGAAAGTCTCTGCCCTCAAGGAGCTTACAATCTAATGGCAGAAGAAAGCTGAAAAGCAGAGTAATGGGGCAGCCAGAGAAGGTGCCAGGCACAGGGGCATGGTGGGAAAGTAAGAGAAGTCCCAAAGCAGGGCAGCCTGATGAGAAAAGAGGAGATGTAGGAAGGGACCTTTGATGACATTGAGTCCAATCGTCACATTTTACAAATGAAGAAACTGAGGCTTACAGAGGTAGCATGACTTATTTAGGGTCATACAACTAATAAATATCTGAGGTGGGATTTGACCCCAGGTCCTTTTGCCTCCTAAGTCCAGAGCTCTATCCGTTATGTGGCCTTGCCTCTGATTAGATCATCAACTCTAAATCCATGGTCTCATAGAAGAAATTCTTCTGGTAATGTGTATTCGTGGCTATATGTGTGTATAGCCATATCCATGTGCATATTTTTATTGTTCTTCTGTGACTTCTTCTAGAATTTGTGACTTCACCAGCTGGGATATTGGATTTGAAGCCAAGGTACCTGGGTTGGGATCCCACAACTGTTACTTACTGCCTGTCTGACCTTAGGCAGATCATTTATGCTCTTTGGACCTCAGTTTCCTCATCATGAAAATGGGGAAGGTGGACTAGGTGGTCCCTAGGAGCCCTTCCAGTCCCGGAGCTGTAATCTATCATATCTACTTAATTTCTTTACATGAAAGAGGAGATAGAGACATGCAATAGAGAGAACACTGATTCCAACAGTTCCCTGGGATACTATTTGTATGGCATTGGGCAGCCAGTTCAAACTTCCTGAATCTCATTGCCTGATCCATAATAAGAGGGTGGGGGGAGGGAGGTGTTAATGATCTCTAAGGTTCTTTCCACTCTAAATCTGTGACCTATGATCCTATAATTCTCAGCCCTCTGCGTCATTTGTCTTGGTGACCACCTGAAGCTTGGCACTCGCCCAAGGCTCTACAGGCTCAAAGGTTGAAGGTTGTACTTGATAGAACCTATGTCAGGATCACCTTAGTACTGGCTGAGGGAGCATTTTCCCCCAGGCAGCCTGGATCTCCTTCTTCTGACCTCCAAAATGGGATCCTACCAGGATATTCTCATGTGGCCACACCTTGGGGAAGTATGTTTAGGGTGTGGGAGATGAGGGGAAAGAGCAAATCCCCTCTGGGACATCTAGTGCTATAGAACAAATAATTCCGTTCAAATAGGGAACTTATAAGAAAGCCAGTGATGTGTGATGGGGAGAGCGTGAGATTTGGAGCCAAGCCCTGCTTTGAATGCTGTCTCTCTACAACTCTGTAAATAATCCTGGAGAGGTCACTTCCCCTTCAGGCCCAGGGACGTTTTTTCCCTTTTTTCTTTGTATTCTCAACACCTGATCCAATGCCTGGCAAATGGCAGGAGCTTAATAAAGTCAGGTCAACCAGAATTAATTAAATGCCTATTACTCTGTGCCAGGCACTGTGGGATAAAAAAGACCAACATCTTGCCTGCCTTCAAAGAACTTAGCTTCTATTAGGGGACACACATGCAGATAACTGTACACAAGGGCTTCATAAATGCTAATTGAATTGAATTGAATTGACTAAAAACAGATATGTGATTCCAGGTGATATGTAATGTCCCTTACCGCTTTAAAATGCTAGAATCAATCGGTAAGCATTACTAAGCAATCCCATATCTATCAACTAAACAAGAAGCATTTATTAAGTTCCTACTGGATACCATGCTCCATGCTAGGCACTGAGGCAACAGAGTCAAAAAAAATGAAACAATTCTTTCTCTTAGAGACCTTATGTTTTGTTCAAGTAGACAACATGTACATATGCAAATAAATACAGAATGAGTTGGTTTGGTTTTTTTAAAGGTAAGGCCATGGGGGAGGGACGTTAGCAATCTGGGATGTAAAGAAAGTCTTTAGGGATGGAAGCTGTAAGAAAATGTTCCTAAAGCATAGACCTGACCATGGCACTGATGATGGTGATGATGATGATGACGACAATGATAAATTAATGTAACTGAGACAGAAGACAGCTAGGTGGCACAGTGGATAGAGCATTGGGCCTGGAATCAGGAAGACCTGAGTTCAAATCTAGCATCAGGCACTATTAGCTCTGTGACCCTGGTTAAGTCACTTACCCCCATTTTCCTCAATTTTCCCAGTTGTAAAATGGGAATAATAGCACCTGCCTCCCAGAGTTGTTATGAGGCTCAAGTGAAATAATATTTGTCAAGTGCCTGGTGCTTGGGTGCTTAATAAGTGCTCCCTTCTTTTCTTTTCTTTTCTTTTCTTTCCCCACACTGCACCCCCTGCCTGGCTGCCTCACCAGCCCCTAGAGTGAAATCCAAACTCCTCTGCCTAGAATTTCCAGCCTTCACACCTGGTTTCCATTTACCTTTCCAGGGGAATCACACATTATTGTCTTCTCACGTACTCTATGTTCCAGCCAAACTGGCTTCCTTGCACCCCTCCTCCCATCTCCTACTTCCATACCTTTGCACAGGCTGTTCCTCAGTGCAGGGAAAGTTCTCCCTCTTTACCTCCACCTTTGACGGTTCCTCTCTCCTTTCATGTACCACCTCCTTCTGAGGCCATTCTTGATTCGCCTGTTGGCGCCCCTTACCATTCCCACAAAATCTCTTCATTGTGTTTCTATTTCCATTTCACAGGGGTCTGAGATCAACCTTTAATAAATGTGAATTCTCCTTAAGATAACTGTCCTTGACATTCTTAAGAATTGATCCAGCATCCTAATGCAGAAAGTCTTCCTAGGGATTGGACTTAATGCACCAAAGCGGACCAGCAATGACCCAAAGCTCATAATGGGCTTGGATCACTGGACGTGGATTCACAAAAACCTGAGTTCAAGTCATGCCTGAGACCCTAAGTAGCTGAGTGACCCAGGACAGGTCCTTTAACCCCCTGGGCCTGTTTCCTCATCTATAAAATGAGGGGGATGGGCTTGATGACCTCTCACATCCCTTCCAACTCTAAATCTATGACCCATATATCCATGCTCAAGAATATTGTTCAGTCGTGTCTGACCACACTGTCCATGGGGTTTCCTTGGCAAGGACACTGGAGTGGGTTGCTGTTTCCTTTTCCATCAAATTAAGGCAACCAGAGGTTAAGTGACTTGCCCAGGGTCACACAGCGAGTAAGTGTCTGAAGTTGAATTTGGACTCAGGTCTTTCTGACTCCAGTCCCAGCACTCCAATGATAACAGACATTAGATACCAAAGTCCACACAATCACCTCCTAAGGCCAACCACTATTCCAGTGTGCTTGGCTATCAGTTTTTGTAATTGAAACAAATAGATTTGCTTCTTAATTTATTTCTAAGGTTTTCTTGTCTGTGGTTTTCTGTCCTAGTTGACCTGTTGGGGTTGTTAAATTGGCGTTCCAATTCCCAGAACATAAAACACAACTTAAAGAAGCTAATGGAGGTGGATGGGGGAGAAATTGTAAAGGTAGGTGTGTGCATGAGCATCAGTTTATAGAAGTCTGCCCATATTTCTGCCAATTCCTTCAATTTGGTGTTTCTTATAACTTCATAAATTTCCGCTACATTTAAATATCGCAGTTTGATTATCCATTTACCAATCAATGGGCACCTGCTTTTTTTTTAGTTTCTTTGCTATCACAAAAAGTGCTGCTATAAATATTTAATATAGTAATATATAATATAAATGTTTTTATAGTCTTTTTTTTCTGTTTTGGATCCCCTTCAGATGGCAATCCCTGCCCCATAGTGGGATCAGTGGGTCAAAAGGCACAAAGGGTTGTATCTGGAGAAACCAACTTTTCATTGAATTTCTCTTAGTTCTAAATGAAAACTTCTTTGGTTGGAAATGGAGCTGTAAGCTTAGAAATGTCTTTTTCATGACTTGGATTGCGTAGGCATCTAAATTGATACATTAGTTTGAAATCTATAGTTTTGTTGTTTCTTGGTTATATTCGCGTTTCTTTGCCAGCTGTAAGGGGTAGGGTAGGGAGCTATCATGAGTGTAGGACTGTCAGTCAGTAAGTCAATAAACATTGATTAAGCACCTGCTTTGTGCCAGATATTAATCTAAGTGCTAGGGATACAAAGAAAGGCCAAGGCAGTCTCTGCCCTCAAGAGGCTCACAATCTAAAGAGGGAAACAGAATGGCTTTGAATACCACATTTTAAAGACCATTAATAGTATTCCAGCAGCACAGAGATATCTCAGTTTAACACCTAGTTAAGAAGAATAATTAATTAAATTATATGCAAATTCCTCTCCCTGTAGTTGCCTCATCCTACATATGATATAACTGGTAGCAGGGCTGTGTAATTTTTCCCAATAATCTCCAGTCATGGGAGCCAGCCCCAGGCACCATGAAAACAACTTAATTTGAATTTTTTTAATTGAACCTGAGTCTCAGATACTGAAGATCTGTATAACCCTGATACTAAACCTCAGTTTCCTCAGCTGCAAAATGGAGATAATACTAGCATCTACTTCCCAGGGTTGTTGTGAGGATAAAATGAGATATCTGCAAACCTTACAGCAATATGTAAATGCTAGTTATGTGATCATCATTATCATTATTATTGTTATTATTAAAAAGTATATTTGAGGGCACTTTTCCTGGTGTTGCACCTTATGTGAAGCATGCCCCAGGCACATGCATACACACACAAACACACAGAACATTAATTCTGAATCTGATCCAATAACTCCATTTCTCAGGGCATCTGGGACATAACAATAGAGATAGTTATAACAGCAGCTGGTATTTATTTAGCATCTTAAGTTTTTCAAATCATCTCGTTTGATCTTCATAATTCAATGCATAAATGCAATTATGATCCCACTTTACAGATAATGAAACTGAGGATCAGAGAGATTAAGTTGCTAAGGGTGCCACTGAGTAGTAAGCATCAGAGGCAAGATTTTGAAGTCAGAAGATGACTCTTAAGCCCAGCCCCCATACCAAAAGTCCTCTTCTTCTTTCTCTCTAGTTCCTACAAGATACTCTTGATGCACTTTTTAACATAATGATGGAGATGTCCGACAACGAAGCCTATGATTTCCTTGTATTTGATGCACTGGTAAGTGATAAGCATGTGAAGTCATGTGTATTCATAGAAAGGTATGAATCTCAAAGATGGCCCCATTTGGAACCTTAGCTACCTTCGGCTCCTGTGAGAGGTCACTTTTAGCTGCCTCCTCTGCCTCTGTCAGAGGAAACATCAAGTCATAGCATCAGAACTGGCCCCCAAGGCTGTTTATTCTAACTGGTACCTGAACAAGAATCACTCCCCTACATCATCTGAAAGCGAGGTCATCCAGACTTCCATGAAGGGAAACCCAATACCTCTCAACATAGATCAGCTATGGCCTGACCAGTAATGGAGTAGGATCATAGCTTCAAAGTCGGAAGGAGTCTCGAGGTCAGCTCGTCCAACCTCTCATTTTACAAATGAGGAAACCGAGACTCACAGGGGTGAAGTGAGTTGCCCAAGGTCATACAATGTAAAACTTAAAATATTACTAAAAACTTGGAATTTTTTTTTGTTTTTTGATCATTAAGTTTTGATTATTAAGTTTTGATCATTAAAGTAATAACTGGACGAAAGGCTCACAACAATTATTCAGAGAAAAACCACAGAGGTCAGATGCTGTATTGTATACTACATATGGACCATTATTTTCTTCTGCTTTCACATTTTAAAGGCCATGGGAGATAATATATGATTTGTAGATTCACTTGAATATGACAGAATAAACTCTTAAAAATGAAAAAAACAACACAGAAGAATAAAGTAGAACAAAGATACTAATCGTTCACTTACTTTTACAACGTGGATTTATAATTTCTTCCCAGTCCACCATGGAGCAGAAAAAAAGGTTTAATACATTTATCTACAACTACGGCTGTAATTGTTTTTTTCCCCCTAAAACACTCAGTAAAATAATTGTTATTGTTTTAATAGGTTTTTAAGTTTAAGGTTAAAACCATTTTTTCCCATGAGTTGGAAGGGACCTCAGAAATAATATAATGTAATTTTTCTTTTTCCAGATGAGTTAGTGATGATCAAACAAAATTCACTTGCTTGAAGTCACATGGGCCCTAAGTTACAGGTCAATGGCTGGATATTACAAAGATACAGATTTAGGCTGAAGTAAAGAAAAACCCCCTTGTAGCTGGTGCCATCCCAAAAACTGCCTTGAGAAGTACATCCCCCCTCACTGGAGGCCTTCAAGTAGAAATGGGCTTACCATGTATCAGAATGGTTGTAGATAGCATTTGGGGTCCAATCCAGAGTGGACTGAATGGGCTTTTCAGGTTTCTGTGATAGCCAAGCGACCGGGACTTACTAGGTATGACTTTAGATTGTTACTCTTGGCTAGCTCAATTCAGCAGCTCAGTTAGGGGACTCATCACCGCTGGGAGATGTCCTCAGTTCCAAGATTTATACTTCGGGTTTCATTACATCATCCGCCGTCCGTTTGAGTTTATTGAAATATTGCTGCCATGTCTCCAGCAAGAGCCTTTGTCGACCCTGCTCGTTCCTAGAGTCCAGCACTCTAATATTAATGCAGCCTGAAGCCTACATTAGCTTTCCGGGTCACCACATTAAGCTTTTGGCCCCTCTTCAGTTTCATTGCAGCCATTCACTAAAACCCTTGGGCCTTTTACAGACAAGCTCAAGTCTGTCTGTGGCTCCCCTAGCATGTAGTCAGGAAGTTACTTTGGGGATCCCAAGAGGAAGACTCGGAGCCTCATTTCCTAAGAAAATAAAGTGCTCTTTGGGCCATCATTTACAGCTATACAGACACAAGTACAACACACATTTAACTGTCTCCTGTATGCAGCTCACTGTGCCGTAGTGGAGATTCAGGGTTTAAAGATAGCTTCCACCCTTTTCAAAGTCACAGTCTTGGAGCAGCAAGTTACCAACCCTTATAAACTAGTAGACATTTGGTGGAGTCAAAGGGACCTTTGTTCAAAACCAGCCTTGATGTGAGACATTGGCCAAGTCACTTAGCCTCCCTTTTTCTTGAGTCAACATCTACAAAAGGAAGAGATTTGAGTTGATGGCCTTTAAGGGAGGCCACCATGGCGCAGTGGAACAGGCATTGACTCTGGAGTGAGAAGACCTTGGTTCAACATTTCATCTTCTTAATTTCTCTGAGCTTCAGTTTCCTCATCTGTAAAATGAGGAAGTTGGACTACATGACCTCTAGAGTCCCTCCAGCTCAAAATCTATAAGCCTTTCATGTAAGAACTGGGTTCAGTTCCCACTTTGGATGTTCCATAACTGTATGCCCTTGGACAGTTCACAGGCTCTGAATCTTCCCTTGTCTTTCAAATGAGGGGGTTGGATTAGCTGGAACTCGTCGGTTCCTTCCAGCTCGGTGGTCCAAGAATCATCATGGGGGGAGGGTGGGGGAGGGAACCTGATCAAAGCTCCTTCATTGATTGACTCAAAACACTGGGACTTTACTATCCTCAGCCAGCACAGAATGGACAGAAAACCCACATGAAGGGCAGTTTATGGGAATGAATTGAGACCTGCATGGTGTACCTGCAGTCCAGATTTGGGGACCAGAGAGCTGCTTTCAGGAGGAAATTACTAGGAATCTTTTAGCAAGTCCCAACCTTGTTGTAACTTGAAGACGCCTTTAGGTCGGCCCCAGGTTTGGCTTCCCCTCCAACCTAGAATGGAGAAGGGGAAATGGGAGGGGAGAAGATCAAGCCCAGATGGAGAGATCTATGCTGGATGGCTCCAGCTGGGGGCCAGAATGTCTGAAGATTATGCAGGGCGGCCTATCCTTATCATTGTCTCCTTTGGCAGGTATTTATTATCTCGCTGATAGGAGACATAAAGTTCCAGCATTTTAATCCGGTACTTGAAACCTACATTTACAAACACTTCAGTGCCACCTTGGCATATGTGTAAGTATCATTGTCCGGGGCTCGTGGAACTTGTGTGAGCTGTGTGTGTGTGTGTGTGTGTGTGTGTGTGTGTGTGTG